AAGTATCCTTGGCAGGAGGCAAAGCCTCTAAAAAGCCTGGAGGTAAAGAAATAACTGGTCAGGTTCAGTCTAGCAGGGTGCACAGCAGCCCTTCTCCACTGGGGCTGTGCAAGAGGATCAAGCCACGTCCCTTCCCCTTCGTCCCTTCGTCTCTTCATAGCTACTGGGAGAATGAGAAAAGTCACTCAGGTCATTTTCCCTGGGGCATAATTTTCTTGAGAAAGGATCATGTCAGGACATGGAGACAGGTGAGGGTAGAAAGAAAAGCAGGAGCTGGATCACAAAGGGCCTTGTAAGCCACATCAGTTTTCGTTTTGCCAGAAAGAAATTGCACGATCACTAAATTAATTCATTAGCTGGATCTAGAACAACTCACACAATGAACAATAAAAATCTAAAACAAAGCACAATAGATGGCATTAAAACATTTAAAAAAACCCTCAGCTACAAATAAATTCTACTTAATTGTCAAGTCTCAATCATTTCTATATTTATTGAGCACTATCTGTGACTGGCTGTTGGGGACACACAGGAACAAGACAGAATCTCTGTCCTCCAGAAGGTCAAGGTTTTTGCCAAAGTCCTTCTGATACACCCAGCTCACCATTTCTCCCTTCTTCTCCTTTTTAATCCTAACTCGAGGATATATTTATTAATTTGAAAGAGAGAGAGGGGAAGAGATTGAGAAACAATAATTGGTTGCAGGCCCTGACTGAGGATCAAACTCACAACCTAGGTATGTGCCCTGATTGGGAATCAAACCTGCAACCTGTTAGTGTATGGGATGATGCACCAACCAACTAGGCCACCCACCCAGGGATCTCCCTTCCTTCAAGGCTTAAAATAAATGCTTCACCACTTATTCATTTTGGCACCTAATCATAATCTCTTTTATGCTGTTATATGCATATGTACATTATTTTTAGTGAAATTAACTCCTGGAGAACAGAGTTCATACCTTTCATTTCATTATTAGTTGCACTATAGAATTAAGTGAGGAACTGAGCATAGAGTAAAATCTCAAATATTTATTAGATTTTGTTCAGCCATATTTATATATGATCTCAGGATATGTGCATGTACAAAAAAACAATCAACAAATATAAAGGTAGCTCTTACTTACTACAACTTAAAGAAAATTCAAACCCTCTACATTTATCTCTATGTACTTTGGCATAGAAAGAGGTCAAGAAATTTAAAGAGCAGCCAAAAGTATTAAGAGGAGGAATCAAATGATAATTATAATAGCTAATTATCTTACGTGAATGGTGACTATGAAAAAAATGGTACAATCAGGCTGTCTGGTAGATTAGAACAATAAGGACAGTTTGGGGATCATTTTCCTGGTGATGGAGGGACTGCCCAACAGGAATACCTTCATGGGAGGTACTAGCACACACAGGGTGGAACAGTGGAGTCTACACTGTTTTGGAGGAGAAGAGAACTGGGCTTTATTTAGCCCAGTCATGACTGCAGTAGAGATAGGTGGGGTTTTATCATGAGGAACTGCCATAGTAAGAATAAGAGGCTACTGCCAATGAGGTCACACTAATTTAGTTTGGGAAAATTAAGGCTAAGAGGGGTGATCATAAACCTATGATTAAATAGCACATACACACTGAGCCCAGATTTTTATCTCATCCAAACTTGAAACACTTGGCCAAAGATGCTTTTATAAGCATTGAACAAGGTACCTGCTTTGCATCAATTGTAAGGGAACACCTTACACAGCAGAGGCAGTACAGCAAAATGACTGAGAACATGAGCTCTGGAAGTCAGACTGCCTTTGTTCATAACCCAGCTCTGCCTCAACTGAAAATCAGAGGTAATAACAGGACTCACCTCACAAAATTGTGGTGAGGATTATGACACATGTAAAGTTCTCAGAAAGAAAAGGTCTGGCACATGGTAAGCTCTCAAGAGATGCTAACTACTAATACGCTCATAGGAGTCATTGAAAAATCAGGAAACAAACTGCTTTTTAAAGGATCAAATAGATTTAGGAATGGGAATGGCTATTAATAGACTTGGGTTAGGGGAGGTCTGGATGGGATGGACCAGTAAGGCAATGCCCATTTTTGTAAGTTTTCAACTCTAGGAAGTAATGGCTATTAACTTTGATAATGCTGTCTTTATTGCTTTGGCAAAGGGCATAAAAGCAATATGGAAAAAAGGTGGAGAGCAGGGAGAATTAGATTTGGCTACTTCTTCATCTTTAAATTCTCAACTTAAAAGTCACTACTCCTGGTAACCCTTATTTAAAGCAGGTCTTGTTATTTTCTTTCTCGCACCCAGGTTGCTTCCTGTTAAGTCCAGTACTTACCATAATCTACCATTACTTTATTTGTTTATTTATTTATTTAAAATATTTTATTTATTTATCTTTAGAGGGGAAGGGAAGGAGAGAGGGAGAGAAACATTAATGTATGGTTGCCTTTCGTGTGTCCCCTGCTGGGAACTGACCTGCAGGGAACTGGTTTGCAACCCAGGCATGTGCCCTGACTGGGAATCGAACCGCGACTGTCTGGTTCGAAGGCCCGCGCTCAATCCACTGAGCTACACCAGCCAGGGCCTGTTTATTTATTTTTTTAAAATATTTTATTCGTTTACGATTGGAGAGGGGAAGGAAGGGAAACATCAATGTGTGGTTGCCTCTCATGCACTGGGGACCTGAACCAGCAACCCAGGCATGTGCCCTGACTGGGAATTAAACCAGCGACCCTTTGATTTGCAAGTGGGCGCTCAATCCACTGAGCCACACCAGCCAGGGCTGCTGTTTTATTTTTAAAGATTTACTTATGTTTAGAGAGAGGGGAAGGGAGAGAGAGAAACATCGTATGAGAGAGAAAGAAACATTGATTGTTTGCTTCCTGTAAGTTCCTGGAAAGGGCTGAGCCCTCGACCTAAGCCAGCCCTGACCAGGATGGAATTGGCAACCTTTCACTTTGTGGGACGATGCCCAACCAACAGCCACACAGGTCAGGGCTGCTTATTTATTTTTAATGTCTTGCACACTAAGTAGCTTCATGATGGCACAGAGTATCTTTGTTCATTACATCATCTTTAGTTAAGCTCAACACATGGTCAGCACATAGTAGGCACTCGATAAACAGCTGCTGAACAAATCATGAAATAACGATTTGTACGACTTCTTTCAGCTAAAATCAATGTATTAGGTAATAGACCAACAACAGCGAAAAACACCCTTTGTATAAAGGGGGAAGCTTTTAGTTTTGGATCTAGGAAACATTTAATGCTTCACTGTGATAAAACTAACCAAATGGCTCCATTCCAAGAAGTCTGGTTAGAACATGACTGATGTAATCTCAGTAACCAGCACCTTCCCCAAACAGTGACTTTGTAAGTTTTGCTCTTAGATTTGCCTTACGAATTTTAACAGTCTAGGCCCAACTTCTGTCCAATAATGGACCAGCTACACAGAATTTTCTGAGGAGTTTTTTAAAACTACAGATTTTTGGACCACAATTCCAGAAGAGTCTTATTTAGTACTTATATAATGAGGCTGTAGAATCCATATATTTAAAACTTTGCTTATTTTGAATAGATAATACATGTATGTACTATACAATTCTGTCTTTCAGCTTCAAGTTCCCTTAAAAAACATATTTTATTTATTTATTTTTAGAGAGAGGAGAAGAGAGGGAGGAAGAGGGAAAAACATCCATGTGTGAGAGAAACATCTCACATGCCCCCAACTGGGGGCCTGGCCTGCAACCCAGGCATATGCCCTGACCTTTGGATATGGGGGATGATGCCCAACCCACTGAACCACACCAGTCAAGGGCAAGTTCAATTTTTGATAAGCTATCATTGTAACCATTTTTCTTGTATTCTTCCAGGCAACTATTTGTCTAAGCAAGTATGTACATAGCCTTTGCTTTAAAGACACACTTGCATACTTAAAGAACTGTTTTAATTTTGTTTTTTCTATACCAGTTTAACAATATAGGTTGAAGATGAAGGTGTCTTTGTATTTTTCACAAGCACCCTAGGTAGTTCTAAGGTGAAGTTGAATATAGAAACCACCCACTGGCCCAGGGTTAAGAGGTTAAATTCAACCTAATGTGCTCACTACAGAACATTAGAAACTCAAGGATATTGAAGAGATGCCCTCAAAAGTAGCCTTGCTTACTTAACCTCTGCCCTCTTCTCTTATGCACATGAACCAAAATATTCTCTAATGTCTCCATAGGCCAGGAAACACCAGTCACTCAAATGGATGTTGCCAAAGCTGTTCGATTTTCAGTTCCTGGAATCCTTTCCTGCCCAATAATATCACCTGAAATCACAAACCTGACAATCACTATGTTACACAAGGCATTTATTTGGTATCTGGATTATAATGATGTTTGATCCTGGCGGGTAAGTAGTTTAATGGAGCACAATTTACTAATCCTTACTGACACAACAGTGTCCCATCCTCCCCGAGAACTGCAAAAGCAGTACCATGCTGTCAGGCCGAACTTGGTGAATTCTCGAGAGTTCGGGCTCCAGCACACCTGACTTCAACTCTATATAGGGACTAGGGCCGAGTGCCTGTGCAGCTCTAGCTTCCTCCTCCCACCTACCCTAGCGACTGCAGAAACAGCTTCCTTTTGGCATGGAGGGTAGGCTCTCCGAGGGCCACCCGAGAATCTCCTTGCAGTGTCCCTTTTACCACGCGGCAGGCATCCTCACCTCCGCGCGGTGGAAGGAGCTAGAAGGGCTCGCCAAGCAAGGAAGAGAACCTCGGACCCAGCGCCGGCTTACCCCGCCTCCCTGATGAAGGGATAAGGGAGGGCGCAATTCCTCTCTATCCCTTCCCCCAGTATTCAAATGGCAAAGTGGGGCATAAGGGCCCAAATCTCAGACCCCTCCCTTCTTCACCCGGGCTTTTCTCCATCCTCTGGGCCCCACGTCTCCTCCGAGCCTCGGCCCAGGCCTCCCCACCTCCTCCGGCCGGCCTGGCCCTCCTTCCTGCCCGCCCCCAGCCCCCTCACCCAGCATGATGGGGCTGAGCCGCCGGGCCAGGCCCTTGGACAGGTCGTACACGTAGAGCTTCACCGGATAGAGATTTGGCGGCTCCATCGGGACCCGTGGCGGCGGCCACAAAGTCCCTCTGGCACCGGGCAGCGGCTTGGACCTTCCCGTACCCGACCTGGGTGGGGAACGAAAGGAGCTTGGGAGAACCGAGCCTAGGCCCGGCCTGAGGGGCGGGGGAAGAGGCCGCCCTTCGCTGCTCGTGCCCCTTCGCTGCTCGTGCTCCTTCGCTGCTCGCGCCCCGACGCCCGCCTCGGGCAACGACTACTGTGAGGTGACAGAGCCGGAGCCAGCAGGGTCGGAGCGGAAGAGAGGCGGGGGCGGGACGCACTTTAGCGCATGTGCACACCATCCCGACCGGTGGTGAAGGGCGGGGTTTCACAGGAGGGGTGGAGCTTTCGCAGAGAGCCTTGTATTGGGGCCTTGTACCGAAAGCATGTTGGGGGAGTGGGTGTGTCAGCTGACAGGAAAAGCTGGAAAAGTGCGCGTTTTGCGTGGTGACGTAGGGCGTTGAGTGGGTGAGAGAACTGGACCACTGCGTGCGCGGCACCCCAGTTTCAGTCCAAATTGATCTTTCCCCTACGCGGGAGGTAGGCCCAAATCGTCTGGGTTGTGTGTGTGTTGCTGGCCAGTGCGGGCTGGCCTGACCCTCCTTCGCTGCTCGGTCTGGCGCGTCCCCCTAACCTTGCTGCAGGGCCCCCTCAGTCGTGAGTGTGCGGCCCAAGGGTAGAGGCACACTACCTTTGGTTCCCCTTTCTTCCTCCCGGGACAGGCCGCACCCAGCCTTGGAGACCCCGCTGGGCGTGGCCGCCTGACGAGTTGGGGGCGGGATGAGGACACATAGGTCCGCTAGAGGACTGAGTATCAGGAGCGGGAATCCCTCAAGTCCAGACGGTGCCGAAGGTGGAATGGACCTCGACATCGATCAAAGCGGCCACCCTGGGCCACCTGGGCCACCCACCATGGAGCATCTTTAAGGGGTAGCTAAGGCGGGGCTGCTGGAATGACCTCCAGGCCCATTTTCCTCTGGGTCTCAAATTACCGCGAGCTCCCGAGGTGGCAGGATCCAGCATAGCCCTTGCTCAGACTCACCAAGAGCGCTTAGGACAGGCCTCAAAGGAGTGGATGTTTTTAGATTCAGCTTTGCTTGTTACTGATCTTAACTCTTTCTCCTAGCGAGCAGTTACCAACATGTCAGAGTGGGAGTCTTATTACAAAAACGAGGGCGATGAAGAAGAAGAACAAGAGGAGGGCCTTGAAGCAGGTGGTCGGTGACTTTAACTGTACTATACTGTGTGTGGAAAACATCCCCTGCCTGTCTCTGCGGGTTGTCCTTGGCTGTCTAAGGGACTACCCTTCTCTCCCCAGATAATACCTCAAATACCGTTTTCCCTTTGAACTTTACAGAGTTACCGTAGGTTTTTTTTTTATTCATGTCTACTCTAATCTATGGGACATTTCTAGCCTTAAACTTTTGCTGGACACTGGTACATTGCTACCTGTGGAGTTCCAATAAATGACCCCGAACAGTGGTATTTTTTGTCACCTTAGATGACACAGGTAAGCCTCTTCCTCACTCAGAAAAGTAGTTTTACTCATTTTAGGACCTCAATATAAAAATATCTTCACCTAACAATAATCACAGCCACCAAAGTGTAGACATTAGCAACAGTTACAAGTGTCATTTCCTCACCATAACCTCCATGTGGGGAGTATATATGTTTGGCCAACACAGTAACACATAGGACCAAGGAAGAGAAATAAGGGCTAGAGGTACTCTACATACTGGTTAATTTAAGTCCTGGGTGGAAAACTTGAAAGTGTTTTTATTAAAATGGAGAAACATATAGAAAATATTGGAAATAGAGGAAGTTTACTGTAATCTATATAATCTGCCACCCCAACACAATTTCATTCCTCATATTTCCTAACTACATACATTTGTTTTTCTTTGTATCTGATTCTTTTATATAGTGGTAATTATATATACACTTAAAATTTTAATTTAATCAGTACGGAGTTTGCCAAAAAATTTTTTTTTAAAACTACAATTCCCCTTCTGGGTATTTACCTGAAGAAAACAAAAACACATTAAAAAAGATATGATACCTGCAAAAAAAATTTTTTTTAATTTATACCAGTCTTCTAACAAAAGGAATTTTAAACACATACATAATTTTATTTTCTGCCTTTTTTTCTTATTTATCATAGATACATTTTACCCATGTAAGTATGTAAATGTAATCTCTATAACATTTTATATTTATTATAATTCATTCTGCTTCCTGTTGGATATATTTTTTAATTTTTAATTGATTTTAGAGAGAGAGAGAAACATTGATTGTTATTCCACTTATTTATGCATTCATTGATTAATTCTTGTATGTACCCTGATAGGGGGGTCGAACCCACAACCTTGGTGTATCAGGATAATACCTTAACCGACCAAGCTACCCAGCCAGAGCCATTTATACATTATTGTCAAGTTCTTACTTTATTTTATTATTATTATTTTTTAGATTACATTTATTTATTGTTAGAGAGGATGAAAGGAGGGAGAAAAAGAGGGAGAGAAACATTGACGTGAGAGAAAAACATCCTTTGGTTGCCTCATCTGCACCCCTGGGGACTGACCTAGGCCTGTGCCCTGACCGGATCTGAATGGCAGCCTTTCACTTTGCCGAACAATGCAACCAACTGAGCCACACTGGTCAGGGTGTCAAAATAACATTGTGAAAAATTTCACGTATGGATTTTTCCATATCTTACTTTCTTACAAAGATTTTTAAGCCGTAGGATTCCCTGGGTCAAGGTAGAATTTTGTTTAAGGCTTTTGACACAGATGGCTATATTGTTTTAATAAAAGGTGGGTAATTAAATTTGTTTTATTAAGCAGCAGCATCAAAAAGGGAGACAACCAGTCCTGGCTGGTGTGGCTTAGTGGATTGAGCATTGGCCTGTGAACCAAAAGGTCACTGGTTCAAATCCCAGTCAGGGCACATGCCTGGATTGTAGGCCAGGTCCCCATCAATGTTTCTCTCCCTCTCTTTCTCTCTTCCTTCCCCTCTCTCCAAAAGTAAAGAAATAAAATTTTTTTTTTTTTTTAAGATTTTATTTATTTATCTTTAGAGGGGAAAGGAAGGAGAGAGGGAGAGAACTGGCCTGCAACCCAGGCATGTGCCCTGACTGGGAATCGAACCGTGGTTGCTTGGTTCCCAGGCCCGCGCTCAATCCACTGAGCTACACCAGCCAGGGCTTAGAAATAAAATCTTTTAAAAAAATCATTTAAAAAAATCATTTTTAAAAAAGGGAAGACAACTGAATATGAAGAATACATCACTCATGATGTAGTCACGCCAAGAAAACAAAACCTAAATCCGATGAAGTCTTTCTGGGTCCTTAGAAGGAAAGACAAAGGACTCTGTTCATCAACACGAAAAGGATGCCCACAGCCAAATCCAGAAGATGGGAAACTGCATATGGCACAATATCCTGGCTCTTCAACAAATAAACTTGTTTTGAAAGACAAGATGGAGAGGGTTATCTATAGACTAAAAGACTTGAAAAACATTAAAAAAAAATCAAAACTAGTGTTGCCTTGGCTGGTGTGTCTCAGTTGGAACATTGTCCCATAAACCAAAAGGTCATAGGTTCAATTTCCGGTCACGGCACATGCATAGGTTGCGGGTTTTATCCCCAGTTGGGGCAAGTGGGAGAGGCAACTGATAGATGTCTCTCTCTCACATCAGTGTTTCTCTCCTTTTTCTCCCTCCCTCCCTCTCTCTCCATAATCAATAAGCATGTTCTTGGGTGAGGATAAAAAACAAAACAAAGTGTTTAGGAGTGTTCTCTTGGATGAGAAAACTATTTAAAATAAAGGAAGTCAGGATAGAGGTTACTCTTGGGAGGAGGGTGTGTGTTGTAATTGGGAGAAGACACACAGAGGGGGCTTCTGGGGTGACTGGCAAGATTTAGTGTGGGTGGTGTTTTTAAGGGTGTTCACCTTATAATTTATTAGGTTACAGTTTTATTTAATGGGCTTTTCTCCATTTTATTAAAAGTAATAAACATAGATATGAATGCAAGGGCAGAGGTTTTCTTCCTTTTTTTTCCCCATGTAGGAGAATATACATATTCAGGGAGAGACAGTTTGATATTTCTGGTTGATGCTTCGAAGGCCATGTTTATTAAATCAGAAGATGAAGATGAATGGACTCCTTTTGACATAAGCATTCAGGTAAGATTACCTTTTTATTTAAAACAAACAAAGACCATGAAGTATTAATGCCACTTTCAAAAATACGGACTCTGAAAATTTTGTTTGTGAGTGATAAATGGTGGTTAGCCTCCTGGGATGGCTGTCTTAACTTCCAGCTGAAGAAGAGTAGCGGTGTTGGAGGACAGGCCCATTTTCTTCTGCCTTTGAACTCTGGACCCTAGGAATATATTGCTCCCACCCTCAGCATTCACCCTGGTGGTGGAAGTGGGCTGCTCCTGCTGTGGAGATGGGAGTGCAGCAGAAGAAAGGAAGTTCCAGCAATGACTGTTGGAAGTGAGTTCCACTGTGAATGATAGTTGGAAGTTGGGTGCTATCTGTGATTGAAGAAGATTGTTACAACAAAATGACAAGAGAAACCCAATTAAAAAATGGGCACTGGATTTGAATATACATGTCTTTAAAGATATATAAATTGGTTAATGAGCACAGGATATTCTCAACATCTTTAGTCATTAGAGAAAAGCAAATCAAATCACAATGAGGTATCACTTCTGCTAGGATGGCTATAATTTAAAAAAAAAGGAAAATAAGATGGATGTAGAACAATGGGAAACTTCATACATTGCTGGTGGGAGCGTGAAATGGGTCACCTGCTGCGGAAAAAGGGTTCGGCAGTTCCTCAGTTCAGCATAGAATTACCATCTGCCTTACTCCTTCCGGGTATACACCCAGCAGAAAAAAATCAGCTACTCATATCCTGATTCTGCCACTTATAAACTGTCTAATGTTATGCCCTGGCTGGCGTGGCTCAGTGGATTGAGCACTGGACTGCGAAGCAGAGGACTGCTGGTTCAATTCCCAGTCAGGGCACATGCCTGGGTTGTAGGCCAGATCCCCAGTATGGAGTGCATGAGAGACAACCACATGTTGATGTTTCTCTCCCTCTCTTTCTTCCTCCTTTCCCCTCTTTCTAAAAATAAATAAAATATTTTAAAAAACTATCTGATGTTAGAAGAGTAGTTCAACCTCTTGGTGTCTGTTTTCTTACCTGTTAAATGGAAAGAAGAATAGTATCTTGCCCATCAAGTT